GTTATTTCGAACAATACTTTTATTAAGGATTAGATGCACAGAAAGATATTTTGTCTGTGAATATGTGAAGAGACTATGAGAAAAAGGAGAAAAATCCCTCAAAAAAAGATAGCAGGAAAAAGAAACTGTACCTCCTCATTCTCAGCCAGCAGATTCAACACCAAAACTTTATCATTAAATAAACCACATTCATTCCAACCTACACCCCATTTTCTCCTCTCTAAATTTTCAGTTCTCCTCATCGATCAACAAAATCTAGTAAAAATTAAGAGAAATACCCGATTCCTTGACTTACGACTAAAGGAACCTATGACCAGAAATCCATTCCAAGTTGTGGTCATAAGTCAAGGACTTCCTGTGCTCAGCAAAACATTTGATCTATTCCCCACATATTCTTGCGTAATCACTCTGATAAGTTACTAATGTGACTTTGCAAGCAAAATAGTCTCACACTCCCAAAATTTACATCCTTTTGCCTCATTGCGCACTCCCTGATGTTATTCAAGGTTTCTTTGCTTCCGTAGGAAAAACGTTTTACTCAAACCGAACAATTGCAGGACTTTACTTCTGTCACTGTATGAAATTTCTGGTAAACATTAAAATGTGAATGTTGGAGAAAAAAAGGGTTCCCAACCTTGTTCACAGCTGAAGAGATTTATCTCTGCGATGGGCTTTACGGTTTTTCTAGCTTTGATTTACTATGAAAAAGTTTCTCACACTCTGTGCACTTGTAAGGCTACTCTCCTGCGTGACTTCGCATGTGCATACGAAGGGTTGAAGGATGGACATAACATCTCCCGCACTCCACGCATTTATATGGTTTCTCTCCAGTGTGGATTCGCTGATGACTCACAAGAGCATTTTTCCGAGAAAAACATTTGTCACACTCTGAGCATTTGTGAGGTTTCTCTCCTGTATGAATTAGGCTGTGACTTCTTAAGGAACCTGAATGAGCAAATGTTCTCCCACAGTCCAAACATTTGTAGTTTTTTTCCCCTGTGTGAATTTTCATATGACTTCTAAGGGCTGATGAGGTTCTATAAAAACTTCCACAGTCGATGCATTGATATGACTTTTCCCCTGTGTGGATTTTATGATGTCTCCGAAGGCCTTTCATGTCTACAAAGCATTTTCCACACTCTACACAACCGTATGGCTTCTCACCTGTGTGGCGCCTCTGATGGCTTCCAAGATGTTGCTTTTGGGAAAAGCATTTCCCACATTCCCCACATTTGTAGGGCTTCTCCCCCGTGTGGATTCTCTGATGAATCTGAACATGGGTTGGCGTAAGAAAACTTTTCCCACACTCCCCACATCTATGGGGCAGCTCCCCTTTGTGCCAATTCTGGTGATTCCGAAGTTCAGAAAAATTCACAAATCGTTTCTCACATTCTGGGCACTCATAGGGTCTCTCTCCAGTGTGACGTCTCTGATGTACCACCAGAGTTGATTTCATGGTAAAACATTTCCCGCATTCGAGGCACTTTTCGTTTTTCTCCCCTCTGTGCGTTTTCTGGTGAGTCTGAAGACCTGAACTCTGGGTGAAACATTTTCCACACTCAAAGCACTTGTAAGATATTATTCCTGCATGAATCTTCTCATGAATCCGAAGAGCTGAACTCTGAATGAAACATTTTCCACATTCAAAGCATTTGTAAGATTTTATTCCCACATGAATCTTTCTATGGATCCAAAGACTTGAGTTCTGAGAAAAGCTCTTCCCACATTGCCAACACTTGTAAGGTTTCTCCCCTGTGTGAATCCTCTCGTGGTTTCTGAGAGTGGCTTTTCTACAGAAAACTTTTCCACATTCCAGACACTCATAAGGTTTCTCTCCAGTGTGGATTTTCCGATGTGTACAAAGGCTCGACTTTTGACTAAACCATAACTCACATTCCTCACATTTATAGGGTTTTAGTGTTGGGGGGCTTCTGAGATCTTTGGAGTT